TAATTTTAGTTGCATCTATTCGAATCTTCATTATTATAGATCGTCATTTATCACCACTCAGTTCAATCGATATTTACCATTTCTACTGATATACCATTTCACCATTTGGCTAAAATGCGAAACAGAAAATTATTCGGCTTGTCGTTAATGAATTTGGTTGTTGAATATTAGTTTCTGTCAATAGGAGGTTAATGAACTCAGAAACGCTACACATTCAGCGGTACATTGACAAGTTATGAAAACAACACTGATTCGATAGCAATTTGTGATTTTTTTGAGTAGCGATGAGATAAACGGCGAAGAAATTATGAATGAATCCGCTTGAAGATTACTCGGTACAATTTTCCATTTATTCGAATATTTCTATTTGATTCAGCCGCAAATAACTGAATATCGTGGATATCCAGCAGAGATTCGTAATGTCACAACAGAGGATGGATACATCGAATTCCGTTCAGTCGACAAGGCAAGCGATCACATTTTCTGACTCTAAAACACGAAGATAGGCTTACTCAACTTGAACGAATTCATTGAAGTGTTAACGAAATCAAAAGGCATTGTCATATCTAGGTATTCGCTGGTGTCACATTCGGTGAACTTATCGTCATTACCATTTTCGTTGCCGTTCACAAGCACAGCATTCGATGGAAGAAAGGTGCCGCAAGAATTGCGGCAACACTCTCACATAAATATCAGGTTTGGTCAGATTTTAAAGAGTGATGAGAGCTTTAACCCATATTGGNGATCATTTTGTCAACTAAACCACAGTTTTGACCATACAGAGATTTTCATCTGTCCGTAGTGCAGTCCGGGAGACATAAAGAGTTTTCAAGGGCGTATGTTGGTAATGAGCAGTCGGAATTTTTTCATAAACATACTTAAATTTTTTAGGTTGAACAGAATATCAAATCAGCGTTGAAGCTGCTGCCTCTAGCTGCAACGAATGCCACATGCAGTTTGATAACTGCATTAGCAATTGTTTGGTTACACACATAAATCCCTCGGATGCTTAGCATATCATTATGTCGATATAATGCCGTTGTATTTTGCTGCTCTACCAATCATCGTCTATTGAAGACGACGTGATGAGAGGTCAGTTCTTGGAAAGTGAACACTGATATTTGCCACATTCTAGTGAGTATGGATCCTTTTTGAATGTGACCGTTTTTGGATGAAATGAACTTCCATTTTTCAGAAAGTGTCAAATGCTGACGATCGCAGCGTCGTATCGCAATCGACGCAGTGATCATTTTGAAATTCTGAGAACAGTCTTCATTACCAAACCCAGTCATTGAAACTTTATTTGTGGGTTCTTAATAGGAATAAAATGGGAAGTCTTAGTTCCCATGCGTGCAGGAACAAACTAGAGCAATGGGTTCTATAAAAAAAAATACAAATAAAGTATCCGAATGGGATCTAACTAGAGTGTTGAAAGAATTCTAGTTTGATTTCAAGTGCGTATCACTAAACAAATTCAAGAGAAGTGGAAGAATAATATGTTTCCCGAACCCGAACTGGTCTCGTCGGCGATTTTGCTGTTCATTGATTTTTTCCTCAACNGGCAGCATATCTGTTACGTCGTTGTGGCTCGAAGAATAATCTGCTTGTTGGAAAGTCCTTGTTAATGCTAATTCCTTGTGTGTCCTTCACATAGCTGTATTTGTAACATTTATCATAATCGCAATACTAATATTGCTATGGGTATTTTCCTATCGGTATCCAAAGCAGTCGTCATAACTGCAGTAATAATATCGAATGCTTGAGTTGTGTGATGATCTCGTGAAGTAAAGTTTGTTGTTATTAATTAAGCCACTCATCTGGATTTGCGAAGCGAACAAAATGGCAATGAAAATCTTAGAGCTTGTTTTATATTGCAGCATTTCGTTTTGTAACTCTGCTCTTCACCTCCACTTTTCTTAGTGTTTATTTTTTCAGCCCAAAAATTCGGAGAATGACCTGCAAAGAATGGCTTGAACCCATTGGACTGCTCGTCAAATATCGGTTTTGTTTTCCACGAGTAATATTGAGGATTTTTTGAAAGCATCTCACTTAGATGAACCGCTATATTCACTACACTGTATCTATATTGATCAATGTATATATGAAGCTAGCAATATTAGGGTTATCGTTTTCAAACTAACGGTGCTCTCAGGATTGCTCAGTAAGATGGTCATTTCTTGACGCCTTCGAATTCAGCAGATTCTCCACATTCATAAAAGTATGTATGTTGCCGAGCGATTTCCTTTTCTTCAAGTACTATTGAGAATTTTTTGAAAAAGTCTCACTTTGATGACACGCTGATTTCACTACACTGTATCTAATTGGTCAATGTACATAAGGTGCTAGCAATATTAGGATCACCATTTTCAAAATTGTGCGAGTTCTCCTCAATGCTGAAGAGAACTATGCAAATTCTCATTAGCATCGAAGAGAACTGTGCGACTTCTCTTCAATGCTAAAGTTTAGTAAACAAGAAATTTTGTTTTCAATAACGAACCTCCGTTCAATGAACTGTCTGATCTGACTAGTGATGTCTCTATTCCAATTAAACTGTTCTATTCCTGTTCTTTTCCATGGAATAGAATAGAACAGTTCGTAAATGGAGAAGGAACAGTCTAGAACAGAATAAAGCCTAACAGAATAAAGCCTAGTTTTTGAGCCTAAAAGAACAGAATAGAATAGTTTTCAAAAACGTAATATAGAGACATTACTATTCGGAAGACCGCGGTCCTCACCTTTGGCCAGTAATATGATTGTTTTTTCACAGCATCGGACTCTCAATATCGTTTAGTTTTGGAAAAGCACATACGTTGTTCGGCAATCATGCTTGCCTCAAAATCTAATGACGAATTTTCCAAGCTATCTCATGCAGTTCAGACGCTCATTCCAATACACTACATCTGCATTGGTCAATATCTGCATGAAATCTGGATAATCTGGATCGTCGATTTCAAACTATTGTTTTCCCCAGCTTTACGCAGTAACATGATGTTTCTTCTCCTGCATCGAGTCCTCTACAAATCCTTTCAATAGTATAATTTGTTTATACGTAATTTAAATATTTGCCAGCGGCAGGTGGAGGAAATTTGCTTTCAATATCGTGTTGAAACAACAAATAAATTGCAAATTCGGAATATTTATGAAAATTTGGCCTCCAAAAATTGTTATAAATAAGATCGATGCTGCTTAACTATCATTTCTTAGTTCAACCGCATCGTTAGCGGTTTTTACGGGAGCGGCGCGATGGCGGAACGCCGCAGGGAAATGATGGAAAAGTTTGAAAAAATGGTGAATTAGTGCAAGCATCGAATGATGCTCTTTGTGATTTGTGTTCGATTGTTGTACTCAACTGAAATGTTGAATTGAATTAGAGATATTGGCTTGGTGCGTACGGGCTCTAAGGATGCCTGCGGCTATTGAATGAGATGCTTGGAGGGTGTGTCGATCGGAGTATGTCGATGCTTCGATGAAATTCGTGCATTTCAGCCGCATTCGCCACATGCTTGCAAATTGGCTTCAGCTCGTTTGGTAGAGTAAGTGCCTCGTTCATAAAAATGACCGAATTCCTCTGCTAACGAAAGATTTTGCTGGCTCAAATGCTCGTTCCATTCGAAGCACTTTTAACAGAGAACGAACGATAAGTTATGAAAGAAACGTGAAGGCTGTCGGAAATTACCTGGATTACCTGGATTGGCCAGGCTATCAGACGCCTGTAACGTTGCTGGCCACAATGCTCGCGTTTCCGTCCACATTGTTTAGCCTCAATTTTTTGCCACTTCGCTGACTAGGCGAGCAGGTCAACCAAACACAACCGAGATATTAATTAGTTGCCGTGAATACTTTGCATAATTATTCGTAGCCAAATATTGATCCAATAAATAATCATAATTCTAATAAAATGAATAGTACGCCGATCGCTCATAGCGATTGACAAAACAACCACACGATGTCCAAGTAACAGTAATAATCGCTGCCGGAAATACTTTATATTAATGTGCTATTTGCAGAAAGCACGCCAACAAGCCAATAAAGAAAACAAGGAACGACGAATACGAGAGGAGTCTTTGTCATCAAAGAGGAAGAAAGCTCGTGCGTTTTCGCCGTTGTTGTGTTTCAGTGAGTAGATTTCTGGAAGAACGTTCGAAGAAAGTTCAGCAGGTTTGCAATACGCATCTAGTGAATTTCATCGTCACACGTGGCAGATCACATAACTCAAACTGGTTCCGATTGGATTCATAGGACTCGTTCAAGAGCTGTGTATCATAAATGCCATTTGATGATCATGTGTATAATTTGCCATCATTTTTCACTGACAGTGAGCGTATTCTTTCTCAACGAAGTTGTTTTTTGGTTTGCACCGAACAAACGGTGAGCACATAAGAACAAACGGCTGCTGTTTCATTCATTTGTAAAAATAGTCATAGCATTTCATCAAGCTTTAACTGCAGAAAACTTAAGTAATCGGTAACGACGGAGAAAATCGCCCACAATGGATGCAGCAGAAAAGAAGGATGATTCTAGTGGTTCTGAAAAGGCAAGGGTCGCCAGCCGGAAGGGTCAAGATAGAGATTCAAGTGGCTCGAAGCGTCGAATGATCAGGAATTTAATCGATGATATGTTTCTGAGCTTTCGACAACATAAGAAAAAACGTCCCGAGGTAAAAGAGAAGAAGAAAAAAAGCAAACCAGCTGCGGTGAGTGTTGGTGTGCTGCACAAATCAAAAATCTCATTTTTAGTTGTTTCTCGCTGCACTTTGACATCTTCTGATTGCCCTTTTTCACGGTTGAAATTGTTTGCCAAGATAATATCGTTGACATTTTGTAGAAAACGGAAAGCAAAGCAAGCAGACAGTATCCATCCTCCGATGCACAAAAAGAGCATTTCTGTAAATTTCTTTCCGTGAGTTTAACTGCTATTTGTTGAATTTTACCACTTTTCTCAGTGACAACTCACGAAGAGTATCTCTTTTCAGGAGCTCTTCGCACTTGGCATTGAAGGTCTCATCCGCGAATACCAAACCAACTTAAAGAACTACGTTCCACCAGGGACCACAAGAGTAGCATTCAATAGAAATATGGTTCGGAACCGATACAAAGGTAATCATAATTCGTCGACCTTGAGATGATTCAAATTGTTCCGATAAAAAGGGATGATTCAAATCGTTGAATATCACGAAACATAAATGGTTTGGAACCTCTTGATGCATCCAGAAATAAGAAG